GGTTACGTGCTGCAGATGCCAACCGTCTACTCCAATCCAGCCCCGCTAAATTGAAGCGAGCAGATTTTCCTCCCTCCAATCTCGGCCCCAGCATCACTGCAGGGCTTCTATTTTATTTCTTTAGCTGAAATGACCTTCCCTCCTGTAATGCAGAGGCTTGCTCACTACTACAAGCCTTCAATCAGATTTCTAATCCTCCATCCCCAGGGTGCAGCTCAGAGTACAAAGCTCCTTGGCACACTGAGCACGTTGAGCGTATTCCCGGCTGCGGCTATTATTGGCTCATTTGCCATGGCTGTGACTTCAGGGAAGAAAGTCTCCCCCCACCCCATCTCATTCCCATTTAGATACTGTCCACTGCATAAACCGATTTAAATGCTCTCCCTCCCCTGAGCTCTCACCTCTCCTAACTTCCAAGAGGAAGGAAAGAGGTAGGAGGCCTAACAGAGGACAAGGTACTGCTTCCCTTGCTGCAGCAGGACGTGTGCATGTGAAGACAGATCGGCGGATGGGAAGAAGCTGGAGCAATGGAGTTGATGTTCTCCACAGCACCATTTCTCCTACCCCTCGGCAAGTTTACTGGCCAACTCACTATAAGGAAAGGCTGAACAAAACTGGGATCATCCTGCGCAGATCCCTCCTTGATGCTGAGTTAAGGGGTTGCTCTGACTTCCAGCACAGAACAAGGGGTTACGGTCTCTTCTTGTTACTCCCATTATCTCCGAGGAAGATCCATGCCTTGATGGGGGAAGAAAGAGCAGTTTTGTCACGCAACGGATGCATTTGATGAAAACCAAGCACAGCCCCCAACACGATTTGCTTTGCTACGTTATCATGCTTATCGCACAGCTTAAAAGGGCCCGCGCTAACAGCCCAAAAAGCCCCAGTTAGGCTCCAGAGTGGCGAGAGACGTGCGGATGAAAGCCCGCCGCGCCCCCGCTCCCCTGAAGCCCCTCAGAGACCCCCCACAGCTGTGGAACCCCCCCCCAACCCCCAGCACATCCGGAGGCAAGCGGGGCCCGTGGTGGGAGGGGGTTAACCCCTCTCTGAGTGGGAGGAGGTGGCTGTGTGGAGCCGGCGGGGCCCCTACTTGGCCCAGCCCCCCAGGGAGCCGCGTGACCAGGCTGCGCAAACAGGCGCGCTTGTCTGCCGGCGGGTGAGCTAGCGCGGAGTTCGCGCAGGCGGGCCTGAGGCCCTGCCTGCAAACCCCCCAGGACAGACAGTCCCAACCGTAGCCAGCCTACCAGTGGTATGACATGGATGGGCACGCGTCGCACCCCAAGGGTCCCCTTGGGCTCTGCGGCACCCCCCCTCGGGCACCTCAGAGACGGCCACCCAGACGGAGCCCACGGTTTCAGGCCCCACACGGACGGCGCCCCGGCTCTCGGCTGCGGGGGCTGCCTGTCCCTTTTCCAGGCTCTGGGGCCCAGGAGCATGGCCACCTCCCCATGTGGGGTCTGCTCCCTTTCTGGGTCTCTGGCACACCAGCTGGAGGAGCTCCAGGCCACAGTCCAGAGACTGCATGCTATCAGGGACTGCGAGCAAGAGATCGATTTCTACTGCCAGGCCCTTCTCCCCCGGGAGAAGGAGGGTCGACCACGGTCTCTCTCCAGGACAAGGGAGGACTCTGGGACCTCCCGCTCTGTCCAGTCAGGGGCATGGACCAAGGTGGTCAAGGGCCCAAGGCCCCTGCCCCACCGGAGCTTAGCAACAGGTATGCACCTCTTGCTGCTCTAGCAGAGCCTGCGGAGTTGCCAGCTCCCACAGGCAACACAGGCCCAACTACAGCTACCATCCCCACTCTCCCCAAGACAAAACGTAAGGTGTTTGTTGAGGGAGACTCCCTCCTGAGAGGGACTGAGAGGGCAATCTGCCGCCTCGACCCATTTCCTGGGGGCCCGCATCCGGGACATTGTGGAGAAGATCCCTAAGCTCCTCCAGCCCACA